AGTCAAAATTTTAGCATACATTAGGTGATGTTACTGTTAGTTACATTATTATTAACACAAGGATAATGACACAGTTTTCCAGTTTCCCTGGCTTATTAATCTCCATGGGAAAAGTATTTACAACAGAAAAACCTTGTGTGTGTCACATTTTAGTGGCTTGTGGACATTTCAGTAGTTTCATCTGTAAGAAACAATTATTTAGTGAACACAATAAAGATGCCAAAAGACATATATTTTCCAGGATTCAGTGGAGAGGCACACACTCCGTGGGCTCCTACCAATCACCAATGAATTTTGGAGATCAGGTTAAGAAGGGAGCCTGCATTATATGTTGAGTTCTGGGATTTTGGGTTGAAGCAACCCTCTCACCAGGCTCCTCTTGGAGGCCTGGAGACTCACTTGGAGAAGAGGGATGGCACCAGATTCACCATGGGTAGTGGAGGAGAGGATTGCCCTATGGTGAACCCTCACAGTTTCTCATGAACTGTGGTTATATCAATTGCACTTAAGATGGCCCCACGTGTAATTTCTTTGTGTGAGCTTCTTTGAACGAGACTGCGAGACACAGAGATCACCGACATCCATCCTGGCCAGAAGGTCGTTGGTAGCTGCTGTGCATGAGGCAGGCTGCTGCTTCACAGGCACAGTGGGAACAAAGAGGTTCAAAGACTGAGCAGTAGCAAAGGTCAGTGTCTCTTTCATATTTCCTACCGGATTGTCAACCCAGTCATTTTCATCTGCACCGTTTGACAACCAGAGAGAGACTGGAGTTGACACGAATTCTTGACTGTATCATTTTTCATTCAACTGAATCTTCAGAAGGCATATTTTTCTTTTTAAGTTTTGGCCTTTGTTGTAGGGCATGAATCATACCTTCAGTTTGTAATCTTTTTCAAAAATTTCTTTGTAAGGGGATTGGGAAAGGAGTTCAGCTGAAAAAAAAAAAAAAAAAAAAAAGTATCAAGCAATAATTAGAAAGACTGAATGTGAGAGCAAGCAGAGGTGATAAATCCAGGGCCATGTCTGGATCTACTGCAGACAAGCTGAGCATGCAGTGTGTGACACATACTCTCAGAGATCGTGTTACTCCACAGGTTGAAAATAATGCTGGTTTAAGACCTTTGCATGAGGGCTCACTCGGCAGGCCACCTTGGTCCATGGCTCCACTGAAGTATATAGGCATATCCATCACCATCTCCTTCAAAGTGTGTTGGGTTATTCAAATGCTGGATGTTAAATACGGGAAAGTTATGTGCCTCGGGCTAACTCACTGAAAAAGAAGTTGCAGAGGCCAAAGCTGTGGAAAGCTTGAAACAATATTTGATGCAGAAGCTGGAAATACAAATAGTGAAAAACACTACCAGATGCTGCGCAGATCCAGTCTACCTTGCTGAAGTTCATAAGACTTGTCAAATAAATTATAAAAACCAGGGTTGGGAAAGTAGTGTGGAAAAGTAAAGGAGCGAAGAAGTTTCTGATCCCACTCAGAAACCAACCAGGAGGTGCAATTTTTTTCACTTCCGAAGCACTGACCATAGGCTCATCTTCCACTGGCCTCCCAGCCTTAGCCCGTGGGAAAGGAGTTAAGATAAAAAAAAAAAAAAAAAAGCAGTATCAAGCAATAATTAGAAAGACTGAATGTGAGAGCAAGCAGAGGTGATAAATCCAGGGCCATGTCTGGATCTACTGCAGACAAGCTGAGCATGCAGTGTGTGACACATACTCTCAGAGATCGTGTTACTCCACAGGTTGAAAATAATGCTGGTTTAAGACCTTTGCATGAGGGCTCACTCGGCAGGCCACCTTGGTCCATGGCTCCACTGAAGTATATAGGCATATCCATCACCATCTCCTTCAAAGTGTGTTGGGTTATTCAAATGCTGGATGTTAAATACGGGAAAGTTATGTGCCTCGGGCTAACTCACTGAAAAAGAAGTTGCAGAGGCCAAAGCTGTGGAAAGCTTGAAACAATATTTGATGCAGAAGCTGGAAATACAAATAGTGAAAAACACTACCAGATGCTGCGCAGATCCAGTCTACCTTGCTGAAGTTCATAAGACTTGTCAAATAAATTATAAAAACCAGGGTTGGGAAAGTAGTGTGGAAAAGTAAAGGAGCGAAGAAGTTTCTGATCCCACTCAGAAACCAACCAGGAGGTGCAATTTTTTTCACTTCCGAAGCACTGACCATAGGCTCATCTTCCACTGGCCTCCCAGCCTTAGCCCTGGGGTGGTCCAATCGCTTGTGTGTGCCCCTGTTCCCCTGCCCTTAAACAGAACAGCCCCTGCAGCCACCGTCCTGAACCCAGGCTGGTGCGGGAGAGCAGAGCTGCTGAGGTGCAAGCCGGGAGAGAGACCCATCAGCGCATCAGCAAGGTGGCTGGAAATGGAGACTCCCACCAGATCAATGCTGATCAATTAAGCATTAATACACAGAGGATAACATAGACCGCTGGAGACTTCTGAATAAGTTAGCCCACCATCAAAGAAGTCATGCAGATAATCAACAAATAATCTGATTGAATTGTCAGGCTCTTAAGAAAATATCTACCTGTGTTCCTACCTCAGAGCACTTACATTTTCAAAACCTATTTTCTAGCTTTGTTTTTTCTGGTTTTTTGTGCTTTCAAGCTCAGATTTGGGTCTACATTGAGCCCTTTGCAAGCAAGCCATCTCTCAGATCTTCTTTTACGTCCGCTTTAAAAGATAAACTAAATGCCTAATAATCAGTGCTAGAATTTCAAGCCATTTCTGATTATGTTCTTTCAAAATTATATTGTTTGCAAATGTCGTCTCTAATTAAAATGTACTAGTAACTTAGAATTGATTCATTTTCTGACTCTCCCCACTCTATTAAAGTGAATAAAAGTAAAACAGAATCTCTCTTTCTCTGCATTCTTCAATTCATTCGTGTTACTGGAAATTAATACTGGAAAATATTCTCTCAGCTGGCTATATTATGTAAGAAAATCCCTGAAAAATGATACTGACATGCCATGTTGATAAGCGTACAATAAGCACCTGCTGAAATACCTTGGAATTAACTACATTTATGAATATCTATGTAATTAATTTCCTTTTGCATTTATCTTCCTTAGGGTTTGCTGAAGATGTTCAGTTAGCTAGTGTTTCTGTCAATAATCTATAACTGGTGAATCAGACTATAAATTGAGCTATTTCAGCTACATTGTTTTAGTAATCTGCCTAGCTATTCCATTTTATCACTGCAATGGTTGTAACATCACATTTGTTTAAGTGCTGTGATTTTCTTCACCTGACAAGATGATCTTGCACTGGAAGATTGTGCTTTGTAGTATGACACTACTTAACCCCCAGCTTCAGGATGAAAGTTAAAGAGGTGCTAAGCGAGCCTGAAAAATACTGTCTGGCTGCTGCAGCTGTATAGCTGAAACAAAAGGGGAGCTGGAGAGCTTGGAGAATAAATGCTTAAACAGAAGACTATTGAGCAGGGTGTTTGCAGTCTATTAAAGAAAAAAATCACCTACACAAGGCACCTGTGGGATTGTATGAAGAAACATCTGCAAATAATGGGATGTCCAGAAGCAGTCTTTATACCTATATACATAGAAATATAAATAATGTAAATGTAAATCTGTACATACTACATGTATATACATGTATATGTATAAAATATATGCATATAAATATATGTGTATGTATATAAAATACACACATACAGATGTACACACATATATAAATACATAGAGGGCAATGATAGGTGTGCTGAACAGGCTACTGCTTATAACTAAAAGTTGAATGTGTGCCTATCCTGCAAATAAGGCAATTTTCCCAGGTAAAACAGTACAGGGCTCCTGCCCCAGTGCCCAGTTCAGCTGGCTGGAAGAGCTAGGATCCTGGTAGGAGTTTAGAAATGGATTCTGAAGCAGCCACTTGGGAATGTACCCTGCCATGCCAAAGCTGGGACAGCCTAGGACCCAGGCACCCACCAGTCTCCAGGGAGCTGACAGCAACCAAGGGACCAAATGGGCCATGGGCAGTGTGAGGTAGATCCTGGGAAAAGCATCTAACAGATTATAACTGTTACGATAATGACCCTAGACAATAATTTATGAAACCTGTACATATTCCTTCCTAATGCTCTTTTTTTCTTCTACTGTATTGCTTAAACACATATGTGAAACTTGATTTACTTGGAGTGTGCACTCCTTCCAGAGCAGGACTCTAGCAGATATGAAGTTCTTCTATTTTTCAGTCCTTTCATTACATACATCAGGTTCAAATAAGTTTGCTTGTTTCATTTTCTTGGATTCTGAAGTACAATTTTCTGAAAGGCTGAAATCATGAAAGACAAAATTGCAAATAAAAAAAAAGTCTTCTACATATCTAGCATAACAGGCAATAATATTTTTTTTTTCTTTAACAAAGTCAATTAGGAGCAATGGTTATTTATCCTGGGTGCATCAAGTTATTGACAACAGTTTATTGCTGTCTACACGACCAAACAGCAATTAAAGTGAGCAACATGCTCTCTTTAGGGTAAGAAAATTTCAGATTCGGCTTGCAGGAGGCCAGGGTACTCACAGCTCATAATGAAATGTGCAGCAAAACCTCCATTCAGTTTCCTTCAACGCTATTGTGTGAAGTGGTGTAAACTGCTGTATGCTTTTGAAGAGAAGCTTATGATTACACTTCCTATCTTAATGCTATTTGGACACAGATATACATTAATGTCAGGCAGCACTGTGCTTTGTTGTGTCGATTACAAATTAAATGAACTCAGAATCAATACAGATGAAACTGAATGGGCTCATGGCAGGTGGCTCTGGTTTAAAATGAGAAATCTATTGAAAATATCGAAATTTAAAACACCGGAAAAAAAAAATAACAGTCTTGAGTAAAGAAGGATTTTGTTTGGGATGTTTTTCCTAAATGGAAGGGACAAGCAAGAATACAACGCCTGATTGTTGAGGTCGATAATTTCTTTCTTAAATTCTTTCTTTTTTTCTTTCTTATTTTTAGGTATAAAGCTATAGTAAGGCCGATGGAGATCCAAGCATCCCATGCACTGATGAAGATTTGTGTGAGAGCTGCTATAATCTGGATTGTATCCATGTTGCTTGCCATCCCTGAAGCAGTGTTTTCAGATCTGCACCCTTTCCATGACAAAGGGACTAATAAAACCTTTGTCAGCTGTGCTCCTTACCCGCATTCTGATGGGCTGCACCCCAAAATTCACTCGATGGCATCATTTCTGATCTTTTATATCATTCCCCTATCTGTCATTTCAGTATATTATTACTTCATTGCTAAGAATTTGATCCGGAGCGCTTACAACATCCCTGTGGAAGGAAACGTGCATGTGAGGAAACAGGTAGAGGCTTGACTTTCTTCCAAAATCCACATTCCCCGTGAATCTAGGAGTAAAGAGTGCACCTACAGGGAAATTTACACTGGGACAGGCTGTGTTAATTTTAATAGATTAGGTGGGCTAAAAGAAGTGAACCGGTCATAGCACAGCACTGAACAGTTAAAGCATCTTCTCTTGTTTCTAAGTTCAGAGACTTTGGCAGGGTGGTTACCATAGCAAACACAGCAGGAGACTCATGCCAAAGCCTGGGAAGGTATTGACTAGGGTAAAGGGAAAGAGGCAGAGCTGGGGATGATGTTTGGAGATCGAAGCTGAGGGGTGATGCAGCAGAAAATCAAAACTTCTTGAAGTTGCTTTGTCAGAGAGACGACCTCGGATAAAGACTTGCTCCACAAAGAAGTCCCTCTTCACACAGAGGGAAATGCTGGCTCTGTAATTTGGTCCTCCAGTCTGAAAAGCAAATGGGACACAGGAAAGGGAGAGGGGAGGTGGGGAAAGGCCCTTCTGCAAGGAACCCCCTGGACCAGGAGCACTGGTCAAACAGGGAGGCACACAACTGCTCCTTGAGAGCAGTAATGCCTCCTGTGCTCACCACAGCTCCAGTTCTCATCTGCTGGTGCTGTGCCATGTTGAGAAATTAGCACAGGTTAGAGAGGGGCTGGGGAAGTGGAGACCAGAGGAGGAGGGTGGTGGGTGCAGGGTCATCAGGAAGGAGGACAGAGCAGGACAGCGTGGGGTCCTCGTTGTGAATGATGTGATCTTTGCAGTGTGAAGTCTCAGGAGAAAAGGGGAGTCCTGGCTTCTTCCCTTAAACCCTTTGGTCATTACAATTCTAAAAATGCTTCTTTTTCTAGGGTCTCTGGAGAGGAATGACGTTGACAGAACAACCTGTCATTTGCCCTCTAATAAGCCACACTGGTCAATCTTCTTCTGGTCCAATAGCTGATAGCCTCAGGTTTCACCATAAGACAGTCTTTGATATATATAGGCAGACTATTTGCTCCAAACAATGGAGTCTTTTAACCTTCCCTTCCTTTAACCTAAAAGGTTAAAGTTACTAAAAGCCCAGTTACTTCTATTACTGTCACTCATGAGTGGGAGTTCTTATGAAACTCCACAAACTGTCCCACCGCAGAGCTCATGCTTGAGCCGGCTCAGCTGGCACCCATTTATTTCAAGTGAGTTTCATGCTCTGGTTGAAAATGCGTGGCTGAAAATGTGTGAGTCCTGAACCAAGTGAGGGGATTTAGCCAGGATTTGGGCAACCTAACTCCAGCCTTTCAGCTGGAGGCTGTTTCCTCTTGACTGCCCCTGTTTGTAAGAAACTGGAGAGAAAGAGTCCTCTCCAGGGGGAAATCCAAACCCTGCATGAGCAACTGGGGATTTCAGATCAGTGCTTAAATCTGAATGCATCTGAGCCTTAGGTTGTCCAAGTAAGAAAACAACAGCAGTGTAACTTGTTTCTAAACAACTTATTTACCTTGACATATTTACCTTATTTCGTTACCTCTTTTCGACTGAGGTGTGCTTCAAACTAAGCTAAGCTGACACAAGCCATTCTTCAGCTGAACAAATGTCCATATAATTGCACCCAGCTGATATTTTCACCTTATGATGACCTAACACAATCATCTCACGTAGCCTTCAGGTGCTAAGGTGAAACAGTGGGGCTGGGAAGCTGTTTTCTGCCTACTAAATGATGTGTGATCCCTGAAATCCTTATCCTTTTCCCCTTCTCAGTGTGCGTAAATCTTTCTCCCCTGCAGGCCATTTTTCTGCTGATGCGATGACTGTTTTGATTAGTGACAATAAAGTGAGTAGTAAAAGCAGCCCTTTCCCCCTTTTGTTTTGGGGAGAGAGCTCTAAAGAAAGCAAAAGGCCAGGCTGCAGTCTAGCACTGTCAGTCCATCATTCCCATCCTGCAGTACATTCGGGAGCTATAGGTCTCCATCTGAGATAACTAGTATCGATTTCTTTATTGCGTTGCTTCCTTTCTTTATAGTGCAGATGTGGCCTCAATAGCCCTCTATCAAATTAAGGATACAGTTAAAAAGAATATATGGTTTAGCCAAGAACAGCCCTTTCTCAAAGGATTTAATTTTCAGCCCGCTCTCTGGAGACATTATCATCTGGTACATGTCAATCCTTCCTAAGCTCAATGGCTGATTTCCAGTCACTGCCATTAAAGGGGCACAAAATAAAGTCAAAATGGGCTTGTCAGGTCGCTCCAGCCTACTCCTTGCTTGCAGCTGTCCTGAGGAAAGATCAGCCCGTGTGAGATGCCGAGTTTCTGATGTACCTGTTCAGCTGAGGAGTGAGGCTGGAGCCTGGCCAGGCACCGCAGCAGGGCAGGAACCAGGGCAGCGGGGCTGGGGGCAGTTTCAGGCCATTCAGGTCCTACTCAAACACAGAGAGCAGTCTGCAACTAATTCCCTAGGAGTGCCTAGGAAGAGGTTTACCAGAGAAAAGAACATTATGAAGCCCTGAAAAGTCAGCGCCATTATACTTTCCATGCCTGTAAACTTCTGGCTGCACAACCTCTCCCAGGGAGCAGTGTATTTCAGCAGGACTTTCTGGGCAACTGTCTGTCCTCTGCTTTTGGGTGAACTCTGTCACAGCTCTTGTCTTCATTAGGAAGAAAGATGTGTTTTTCAGTGGCATTGTTATCTTAGTGTGCAGCACTGGTGGACAAAAGGCAAGGTACAATTTGCCTCAGCTCCCCTTGGTTAAGCGATACCTTTGGGTTGACTCCAAGCCTGTACATGTAAGTAAAACAAAGCGTGGCTTGTGTGCATGAAGGTTATTCTGCGTACGAGCTGACATTGTAAAAGCACCCTTCCCCAACAAAGCTCAAATTATGCTAAGTTCATCTATTCACCACGTGCATCTACCTTGTCCTAGTAGCTCCAGCTTTTTCAGCTGAAGGGTCCACCTCGCCGTTGCCTCGGTGCTTCTCCGAGTAGAGAATTTCCTCTATCAGTTTCTTCATCTCCCTTGGCCTCTGAGTGCTGCACTTGGTCTCTAAGGACCCTGAGCTGCTGGCAGCACTTTTGTGTACATATACCACATGGCCCCAAGGCAGAAAGTCCTGCCTCTGGGCTCTGTGAAATATACCAGACTCCTATGTCATAATTAATAATAATAATAGTAATAATGATAAGTTAATCTACATAAATTGGATAAGAACATATATATTATATGGGGATAACTAATGCAGGTATCTGCGCATCTGTTGCCTGAGCTGGGATTTCACAAAGTGGCAAGCCTTTGGAGTTTTATCCCTAAATAGGAAGGGAAAGACTACTTCCTTATATAATAAATTTTCAGAATTCTTCGGTTTTAGGGGAAGGGGATTGAGGAGAGACAAGGATGGGTCTTGACTCTGTGTTCACCGGTGGTCCAGTTTGCCCTTTTTTGGCCATGCCACCTACTACTGAGTAGCCCCAAGGCTGCAGCACCAGGAGAAATAGTTAGCTATTGACCTGAGCTAGGAATAACTGCTAATCTACCTTTCTCTTTCTTCTTCCAGATTGAATCCCGCAAGCGCCTGGCCAGGACAGTACTGGTCTTTGTGTGCCTCTTTGCCTTCTGCTGGCTTCCCACTCATATCATCTATTTATACCGTTCCTACCACTACTCAGAGGTGGACACTTCAGTGCTGCATTTCATTGCCAGCATCTGTGCTCGGATCCTGGCATTCACTAACTCTTGTGTCAATCCGTTTGCTCTCTACCTGCTCAGCAAGAGCTTTCGGAAACAGTTCAACAACCAGCTGTTCTGCTGCAGAGCTCGCCTCCTCATCCGGTCCCAGAGCATGGCCAGGAGCACCACACGAATGACCTCCCTCAAGAGCACCAACCATTCTCTGGCCACCTTTAGCCTTATCAATGGCAACCATGTCTGCCATGAAGGCTATGTCTAAAGGGCACAGTCAGGGACCTCCACATCATGTAGCTAGCGTGGCTGCTTGGTTTTGCTCTGTGGGGATGGTGGGTAGCACACATGCATGCACATGTGTGTGCGAGGAAGTCTGATGTGCTCAGAAAACTCAGAGGAGCTTGAAGCATCCAACATTTCATCCTGGGTTGAGGTTGAAGCATCCAACATTTCATCCTGGACTGAGGTGTCACCAGAGCTACAGATCATTGAGCACCAGCGCACAGGAGCTCCCTGGGAAGCGCTGCATTGCTTCAAGACCTGCTGCTTTTAATGAGAGCAAAGAGAGCATCTTAGGATCAAATCTAGTTTGGCTCTGCAAGTTCTTCATCAGTTTCTGCTCAATCCCGAACTCAGACAGACTTACAGCAGTGACAAAACCATACCAGGTGCACAAAGTTTGTCAGAACAGTTGCATCCAGCAGTTCATGGTATAATATATTTTGACACCAAAATAAATCCATTTAAATAAGGTAAATACTTTTACAGAAGAGTTCAGTGTAGGTCATTTATAGACTTTTCAAGTATTTATTAATGTTCTGAGTACAGTATTAATTCATGGTATAAAAGATATCAAGAGTTTACTGGGGCATGTCTGTGTCCCCATCTGAAATGAGCAGTATCTTGCACCACATCAATGTGAAAGCAGTAACGTGAATAAATGTGAGTTGGAATATGTTTACAGTTTTAAATGTGTGAGCTTTTGCCATGTTGTGGAGGTCACAGCAGGGCATTTTCCAAGCATTACTGTTTTGCTCTGCCTGTCTTCAAGGTGTGAGATAGTGAATGTTTCATCACCTAAGGGATACCCCAAAACTTTAGTTGGGTTTGGCTAAGGACAGGCAATTAACAGAAAATGAAGCACAGCTATTTTTCATGTAGTAGTGCTTTGTAAAACACCCTAGTTTTCAGTAAAAGCTACCAGTGATGCAAGGTCTGATCTCCAACACAGGTTTTTTCCTTCTATCTTCACAGAAACCTGTGGAGAAAGAGTGTTAAAACTGGCTAACAGACTGGAGAATCAGGTCTTCTGCAGTGTTCACTCCAGAGCAGTTCCTGTGCCAGGTATCAACTATTCTGGGAACAGGAGCACAGTGCCCTGCAGAAAACAAACTCTTGAAGTGCGTGGGCTATAGGACAGGCAATGAAGCTGAACACCCAATAAAAGAAGCTGCTGCAAAATGAGGCCATAAACCAATCACTGTAACTGAATATTGAGCTTTTAATGGCCCTCATCCTCTTTCGTGATGATCCTCTTTCTTACTACGGCAAAAGAAAAATGAAAGCTAGTAAAGCTTTGTGTTGGACTTGCTCTGTGAATGTAGGAAAAAGTCATGTGTGCAGTGTAAACACACTCAACCCTGCATCTGCAGCTGCCCAGGGATGCTGGTGGGAGCTGCTGTCTCCAGGGACTGCAGAAGGGCTGCGATGCCAAAGGCAGAGCTCAGAAAACTCTGAACTGGTTTTGCCTTTGAGAGCTGTGCCCTCTGGGTGAGGTTCAACACACAGGTACAGCTGTGTGAGAGCTCAGGATGTGGCCACACCACATATGCTGATGTGCTGCTAGGGGCAGTCTTGCCCTATCCCCCTACCATCCCTGGGCGCCACCACCACCTGTGTCACCTCCTCCTGCAGGCTTGAGTGCTCCCTCTCCCCAACCAGCCTGAAAAGTAATGTGATGGGGTTAATTTACAGCTGAGTCAATTCCCTTGCACAGCTGCCTGTGTAGCTATGGTGTTAATTTCAATTAAGTGTGCTATCTGAGGTCATAATTTACTAAAATTTTCAGCAGGATGGCACTTTCTCTGATCTTTGACATGAAGCCACATACAGTACCAGAAGCCCAGTCTGGACCATGTCAGGGAGTTTGGTCAAGTTTCGAGCTGTTCATGGCATTTCAAAAAGAGAAAAAATTTATCTGACCTGAAATATTTCTACTAAATATTTTCTTCGGCCCTGTAAGAACTTAATCGAATGCCAGCAGGAGTTACACACTTCAACAGCAGCCACACCATCTGCGCTACGTGATATGTCCTCCATTTGGGTAGAAAACAGATTACTGTTGCTTTACAAGAGGCTCCAGTAGTTTCTGCATTTTTGTTTCTGAGGGAAAGGGGGAAGCACAGCAATGATGTGAGAAAATCATAAACATGGGGAAAAGAGCACTGCTATAGTTCCCTCAGGACGAAGCTGAATAAAGACCCTGCCTCCCTGAGAAAGATGCTGTTTTGAACACAGGAGAGGTATGAAGACGTGGCAACATGGAATTAAATAAGTGCTATTGATTTTACCCTTGTCTTCCTAACAGAGCTAGCGACTCCTCTGAGGACAGAAAAGATGGTTTTGGCTCTGATCTGGAAAGCGCTTTCCAGAAATGCAACTGCAGGTGTCCACATGTGTCACAGCCTCATTATTGCTTAATTTTCTTGGTATTCCTTTTCTCTTTGTTTTCAAAGCCGATAGACAAAAATTTATGGGGAGTTCCATGCAAATTGTAATCCTTTCATCAGAATCTAAGATTCTACCTACAGCTTCTTTTAATTTTTAGCAACTTAGACTAATCCTTTTCAGATGTGATGCAAATTTTCAATAGCATTTTTCATTTTATTCAGATCCCTGCCTACCCATTTAATCTCTTTAAAACAATTAGGTGATTCTGTTAAAAAAATCAATTGAAAAAAGGTTTCTTGCAAAACGTATTTTGGAATTTATTTCACAAACTTGCACTCATTTTTTAATACTATAGAAAGAGCAAATCTGAGGTTGGAATTGTTTCTATTTCATCCTTGTATTAAAATAATGAAAAAATTAAAGGCAGCAGTTGAGGTCAGGGAAGGAAGACTCAAGAAAGTTTTCTGAAATATACCAACATGTAATTGAAATAGTTGTAGCTGTAATTGGTTTTTTGTTTCTCGCTCCTTGTCTCATTACCTTGGTTTCAAAAACACGATGTACTTTACACTGCTGCGGCAGTCTAATTCCTTATCAAGAGCTACCTTGGTGTTTGCTGGCACAGCCACAGCACTGATTCTTTCAACCTGAAGCGTTGTCTGCAGCGGTTCGTGTGTTTGATAAATTTTCAAAGTGCCCAAGATAAAAGCCCAGCCCTGGCAGGCAACTCCAGAGCCACACACTGGGATACTGCCCAGTCCAGGGAAGCTTTGCGGTCCTTGGTGGGCAGAGACCCTGGCTGTGACCCTGGGGTGGCTCTGCACCCCAATTCTCGGATTAGGTCTTTCCACCAGCACCGGGAACATTGCAGTGGCATTTTAGAGCACGCTGTTTGGGAAACACTGCATTTCAGTGCTCAGAAAGACAGTGTCCCTGAAATGCCTGGCTCCTGGAAGGCTGAGAAATTTTCTCATTGTGGTCCACACAGACACCTCCAAAACTGGAAACACACAAAATTCCCCTTGAACCACATAGCCCTTTGGGCTTGATCTGCTCTGTCCCGTCCAACATGTGGCAGTTGTATCATATTCAACCAGCTGCAGGGTGTGGGTGGGGGAAAAATGGTCTCTGTGTCTGGATGCTGTATGTTACATACCAGAGGAGCATCGCTATTTACTACAGTGCAGCTATGCTTTCATCTTGGGTCAGAAGTACTACAGGTCAGAGGGTTATTAAAAATATGTAACTGCTGTTAGATGAATTGGTGTGAAATACGAAACTAATATGTAACAGGGACATATTGAGTTATATCCAGGCTTTCTCAGGAGAAATTAAATAGGACAAAATATTGCTCTTCATTAGGAATTTGAATTTTTTGTGATTCCTGAATTCCCTTTGCTCCCATTGAATGTAGTGGGAGATGAAGGTGCTGAGTAAATCACAGCTTTCAGCTGTTCTTGTTTTAGTTCAGGATTATTCGGTGCAGTTTGGCTCTAAAATGATTTCTCATAAGTTTGGAAAATCATTGCAAAGAATCAAAAACTATAGAAACTTTCTACTATTGACACCAGGTAAAGGATTCAGAGTCCTTCAGCTCTGCCTGCAAGGTTTATTTGTGTTGCAGTGTTTCCAAATATTGCCTTTTTGGAAATGTTTAAATATGAAAAATCAAAGGTGTGATTCTGCTGCATGACAACAATAGCTGTAAGCAAGAAAAAATGTCACATGGTTGAAAGGAAAGGTTGTATTATTTCCACAAATGTTTATTTGAACACAAATATTTGTTTTATTGAAAAAAGCCCCACCAAATAATATATAAGGTAATGAATCTTTCGTTGTTTTAAACACACACACAAAACAACATAGTTCAAAGAGCCTCTATTTACCTAACAAGAAAACAGGAAATCTGTTATTGATATGTGTATTCCTGATTCCCCCCATTAGGTTGATTTATATGGAATGAATGTTATAGTTAAAAACTGCACGGTTTGGCAGACAGAATATACCTTCTTGCTCATTTTTCTGACAAAATACAATTTTTTTTACAGCAGAAAACCATCTGTGTGTATTCAGTTGGGAAAAAACACCCTGGTTTTCAGCCTTCTTTAAAGGCAAGAAGTTCAGTGCTGCTTATCTGAGCAGTAAGCGATCCCCTGAATGTTAACTGCGTGGCTCATCGCTAGTGCTAGGCACCATGATGAAAACAGGGTAGCTTATCCTCTCCATCCTGGGAAAACACAGCAGATGATGGGCCTTTATCACTCATAATAAATCATTAGAGATTTTTTATGCTGCCCTTTCCAAGAGGAAGAAGCAGCAGTTCAAGGAGGCAAGGAAATACTTAGATGGCGTTATTCAAAATTTAAAGTTTTCTCCTTCTTTACTGAAATGTTTGTACTATCCTTATTCAATTTTTTTTGCAGTTGTTTTTGTGACACCATCTTTGTACTCACTACTATCTTTTCGGCTTGAAAAATGTGCAGGTAAAGAGATAGCCGATTTGGGTGTTCTGTAAGCTGATATTTATTTAGGAACAGAAAAGTTGCTGTAGGGCTGTAAAAATGTATTTTAGTTTGGGTAGCAACAGACACCCCTCACAAGAGAGTTCAAGCAGCCCACAGCTGGGTCTCCCCAGCGGATGGTGACCCTGATGAGCTGCTCTTACTGCAGCCCTCCCTTGCAGGGGGTATTTCTCACACCTGAAGCTCATGTGCACAGACCCCAACCAGGTTGTTCCCCCAAAGCCAGCAGCCCTGCACCAGCTGCATGCCTACGCATCTCTTCTGGGATTCTTCTTGTTTCTAACCCCTCATTCTTCCCCAAAATAGCTGCAGAGTTTTACCCCTGCCATCCTGCCTGCAGCTGGGGCCATAAGCAGCTGGGTGGGAGTAGTGCTGGGATGTGCAGGAGATGGGCAGAGCATCCTGCTGGATCCCTGGAAGGGGAGGCACTACACATCTCCAGGCACTCCACATGCTGTTAACTTGGCTCCAGGTTACAGATCTACTGTAACTTTTTCCTCCTCTGTAACAGTTTCCCGAGGAAACCTGAGGTTTATTTGCACAGACCACCTTGGAAGGCCCAGCACCTTGAAATTGGTGGAGCTGGATGTGGATTCACACGTGGTCCATGAGTCCTCACCCAGGCAGGGCGTCTGTGTAGGTCATGCCACAAAAGAGATGAAAGAGTCTACTTTGGACTCCCCCACCCCCCGCCTTGGAAAATCCATCACTGCTGGCCAGCTGGATGAGTATTTATGTGTCTACCTTGCACTTCATAATAACTAATCACTGCAATTTTAAATCTTTTAAGAATAGAGACTGAATAGTACTCTGCTTAATGCTAAGATTATCAACGAAGACTATATCTAATTTTATATTAAAATCACATCCACAACTCATTTTAAAAGTGCCTAATTGCTTGTTTATGGAAATAGCTACTTCAAATTATTTCTGTGATTAGCTTGACTATTTTACCATAAGTGGATATGAATTAAAGAGAATTGATCATAGAATTCTTTTGAAATAAAGGATTTGATCTATCTTAATGTAAATCAATTACACTTAACGGTAAAAAGCCTGCCTTACGCTGAACATCATTTTGTAAGTGCTGCTCTGTGTTTTCAAGGCAAGTCAGGTCCAGCCACTGTGTTGCTTTGAAGTGGATGGACCTTGGCTTTGTGTCAGCACTTCCAGCTCCGGAGTCAGACAGTGTATTATTGCTGTTCACACACCACCATCTCCCCACAGTTTCTTTTTAGTGGGTGGTAGATTTAACACCGGTCTCTGCACTGTGAGGCAGAGAAGGATGATTGTAACACCTACCCATTGAACAAGTCTTCTTGTCCAAAGGGTTCAGGGAATTTTGAAGAAAAGAAAAGTGGTGCTTCTGTCTAGGTTTTATGACTGGCCTCAACCAAAGCCAAAGCAGGTAGAAGTGTACAGCCTACTGGCACTGGAGGTCAACAACATAGCTGAGAATAGTCCCCAGGGGTGAGGTGCCTCTCTCCTACCTATTGCCCTGAAAAATCAATCAGCCTCAGCGAGCTACCATCTTCTCTCCACCATCCATGGAGATGGACTGGCACATCCAGCGGACATCATACCTCCTGTTTTGGACACTTCCCTTTGCATGAGACACAACATCCTATCTCTCACCACCCAGACCAACCTTAGATGACCAGGATAGGCTTGATGTCTTAATTTTAAATGGCTGATGTCTGTCCAGCCAAGTCCCACCAGACCTTTCCTGAGTGTCAGCCCAGGATCTCTCACTGCTCTGCCCTGCCAGCAGAAGGGCGTATGTGATGCCCCATTCTTCTATTCTTACTAACTGCTGGCTGCAGCCCTGGCACCACTATCTGATGCCACATTAGGCAGGTTGTTAAGATGGTTTAAAAAGGAGAAAGTGGCTTTTATTCCTCATAAGTCACCTTAATGGGGCACATAGGAGACCTCTTCAGATGGTGGGTCAAGCCTTTATTCGTTTGGCTGGCCCTCTGGGGCTCTCTAATTCCCTTCTGGCATGATAGAGGGAACCTGCTGTGAATGCACTCCTGATGGCCATAGTCATCCTTTGGGATGACTCTAGACATCTTGCTTAAGCTTTGTTAGACCATAAATCCAACAGAGCCATGGCCTGTCTCCCCTCTACCATGTTGTTACTCGTGTAGCAGACTGAATAGGAGGAAAACTCAAAAGAAAAATGTCTTACTGCCATAGACTCATTCAGGAGAAGAAAATAGCAAATCCAGAAAATTCTCAGGCCAATCTCATGCCTACAGTGTTTGCACTTTCACTATTTATGCCAGAGGTTGAAGATGAGGAACAAAAGCAATGGCTAGTCATGGTCCTTGGTCTGATACGCACTAATATCCTGTCTGCCATGAAAGGGGCAACCTGTAGGAACAACATTATTTATTGATGTCCAGAAGGAAATGTGGTGTTCCTTGGGAAAGCTGGGTGTGTTTCTCCCGTAAGTGTTGTGTTGCGTTGCATTTCAGTGAAAAGGAAAGCTGTGCTATACGATCTGAGGGACAGAGTCTAGGTTGAAAAAAACCCTAATTTTACAACTGTGAAACATTTCCCTTACTCAGCAGTTAAAAGCCTCCAAGTGGAACCCATCTCATCTCCAAGAGGCAGAGCCCTATGAAAGATAAGTGAGCACTGAACTCCAGAAGGGTATTTCCAGTTCAGTTGGTTGCTCCTGAAGGAAAAAATCGTTGTGAGCTTCTAATCATTCTGAATGTGCATTCAAGACCATTCAGTTGCTGGCAGTCTAGAATGAGCCAGGAATTGATTGAGGAAGTGTGGCAATCCATTACCATGACATGCTCTTAAAAGTATCTTAAAGAGACCTCACAGTATTTGCAAATTATAAAAACCATAACAGAGAGAAGCAGTTACATACCATAAACTGGCTCTACCAGAAGCACTAATACTCTGAAGACAGCTGAAGACACAACCCACTTCATATCAGTTTCCAAGTGTATGCGTGCAAAAGCTTAGTTCTGAACTACAAGACTGTACATATTTCATAAATTGTGTGTAAATTTAATATCTCCTATGAATATTATTTATTGCTTTGTAAAGTAATGTATGCATGCATTCAGCCATCTGTGTGGAATGCAAATGTTTTGAATTGCTGTGTACAGAGGCAATGCAGTTTATTTTACTTGAAACATGCTTTGCTTTCTCTTTTCCAGAGGCTGTGTAATCTGGTATGAAAACCAATGAAAAGTAATTTCCTTATCAAATGAAAATTTGCATAAATGCTAATGTCTCAGCTCCCTTGAAATAGCATTTAGAAGGAAACTGAGAAGAAAAGAGTCAAAATGTGAAAGAATGTGTTCTCATTTGGGGTTTTTTCTTTGCCTTTGGATATATTTTCTAATTTTATACACCATGATTTTAAAAATGCTCACAAATGGCCTCCACAGAAATATGGACTCAAACCGAACACTTTATCAAAAAGTAAATATTGAATTACACAAAGCTTACAGCTAATAAAGCATGATAGACAAAATAAGAAGGCTTTTGTTGCTTTTTAGTTAGAAAAAAATCAAAAGTTTCATGAGCATTTTAATTCACTTACTTTTGTGTTAATTTTCAAGCATTAGAAAGGGTTATCTTCCAGCCACCAAATAGACAACAGCAGAGGCAGTGTCACCAAGAAAAAAAACCCTGAAATTCTCTTTTCCCATTGAGAATCCTCATCCCAGAGCCAGTTTGCCCCCGCAGGCAACGCTGGACTGACAACAGATGTGCATACCATAAGGACTAGGCAGAGGTTTTTTTAAATTTCTAGTGCTCCCATTTCTGCTGCCACTGACGTGAAGCAGCAATGGAGATGCAGGTGCAGTGAGAGGGAGCTGCAGATGGAGCAGGGGCACGGAGGAGGCCACAGACAGAGAGGAAGATGAAAAGATGCAGTCAGTGTTGCCTGGTAAAAACAAAAGGCTCAGAGCAATTGTGTTAGAATAATTGAATGTGCCCAACAATTATTGGCTGTGAAACTCAGCTGCATTAGGTTGATTAATTAAAGGAAAAATACAGAGGCATGTTATAGAAGCTCTCCTGTGCTACGCTGGCATCAGTGGGTTTTGTGTCTGGCTCACTTGGAAAGAAACCCTAAGTGGCCTTTGCTTTAACACCCATACCACCATTACACAACAGTTTTGGCCCTCCAAGAATCAATTGCAACTTGCAGCTTGAAGAAGAGGGTGCTCTTGTTGAGCATTACTGCACCGGAGGTCATCAATCCATTCCACCGAGCCTTTAACATATTTTCCATCCTCATTACAAACAACACTGCAAGCTGGACACAAACACCAGGCGTGTTAAGAGTTCTGCAGGAGGCAGAATGTCATACTAACAGATGCATGTTTGTTTGAATCTTTCATACTTCAGTTTCTTCTGCTTGGCATTGTTTGATTCAGATTTATATTGCTGCTCACATTTTGTTCCATGTTTCAGTTACTATTAATAATATTATTTAAAGCTTAAATAGCATAGGTAACTGAAAAAGGACTGTTTATTGAAGGAGTTCTCTTTAGACGTTTGCTCTATCCACCTTTTGAAGCTTGAGTTTCTTTTTCCATACTGTTGGTTACAGTCCTGTTATATATTATTACATGAAACTGCTTCTTATACTGCATTTTCATGCAAGTCATCAATGTATTATAATAATAAACACCATGAAATAAGCAGAACACTGCATTTGAGTAGGTATTTTCAGACAGTACGGGTATCAAAACTCAGACCTTTCGCTGTGAATTTGACTGAAAAAGCTATGGAGTCCAATATTCTTCCATTCTTTTTTTTTCTCTGTTTATAATATAGCACTTTTTGCACAAACTGGAAAGTCCCTGGTACTCCTTGGAAAACCTGCAGCATGAAGAAAAGTGTTGCAAGATTTCTTGTAGCACTGCACATGCTGAAGTGCCCGGAGATTGCAAATTCTACATGTCTGCAGTCTGATTTCTCTCTGCTTGGGCAGACAAGGCTAGTGTGAATTGTGCTGGCACGTCGGCAATCTCATGAATTGTGCATGTGAAAGAGTGAAGAAATAATTAAGTATCTTTGTGTAGCTTTTAAGACTGGGATTGTTAAAGAAACCTGAATGCTTACTGATATTTTCAAAAATCCTGGAGTACGAGAAATTATCTGAATAGCTTTAAAATGTAAATGGAGCATTTGATATTAGTGCCTGATCATATCTTCTGAAATGATACTCAGTTGGCTATTAATTAACCTTAGGAAAGTTTTGTACTTTTTCTGGTAGCATGCATCAGCAATTCTTGAACAGCTTCATCATACAACATGTAGAGAGAATTGCCTTTTGCTGCCTCACATTACTTGCAGGTAATAGAAATGTTCCAGAGCAGAATGATTGCCTCTCCCCACTTTTCTGTGCTTTTCTTTCTTTCTGCTACATGGTGTTTTATGTTAATATTGATTTACCAGGTCACACATATTTCCATTTGCATGGGAGATCTTGCAGGCTCTCTGCCACGAAAATATATTTTTGCGATGTTTCCTACAGACTTAGGGGTTTATTAAGATATTAACTGAGAAAATACTTCAAATCTCTACCTAGTAGCTCCTCAGATTATTGGGTTTTATTAAATTTTCTGCCACAGGTTTAAAGGCATTTACCAGGCAATAGAGTGAATGAAGCTTCTTTTCCTATATTAATAAGAAGGCTTTTGTTGCTTTTTAGTTAGAAAAAAATCAAAAGTTTCATGAGCATTTTAATTCACTTACTTTTGTGTTAATTTTCAAGCATTAGAAAGGGTTATCTTCCAGCCACCAAATAGACAACAGCAGAGGCAGTGTCACCAAGAAAAAAAACCCTGAAATTCTCTTTTCCCATTGAGAATCCTCATCCCAGAGCCAGTTTGCCCCCGCAGGCAACGCTGGACTGACAACAGATGTGCATACCATAAGGACTAGGCAGAGGTTTTTTTAAATTTCTAGTGCTCCCATTTCTGCTGCCACT